ATTTTTAATAATCAAAAATTAATCTAGTATGTTTAACCAAATATTTTAGGTTCTGGCTATAAGTCAAGAGACTCTTTCACTAATATTTTTGCAAATAGATTGAGTACAGCATTTATGTTTTCTGACAAAACTTGATTGTCTCAAAAGTTAGCATGATTTGGGGCCAGTTTAATAGATTTTTACTCAATTAATTTTTTTTCATTTCCCACTCTATTTTGTTTATGACCAAATTACTTTTCTTGTCCATATCATATCCCTAATTGAAGCTAATGAAATATGATTGTTTTTGTGGCCCATGGACAGATATCTGTGGATCTTATTTTTTTTTTTTTTTTTACTTTTGGTGGCAGAGTGGGAATTAGTGGGAAGGACAAAGAGGAGAGAAGAATCTCCCTCATTTTAAAAACATAGCTCCTTCCACAATGATCGGAAGGAGAGCAGATTCCTATGTTAAGAAATGAATTCCTCTTCTGTACACAGATGTAATATTTTTCTTAAGGCTTGGATGTGTTACGTGAACAGTGCCTTCATTTACCTTCTTTATTTCCTCTTTTCCATTTTTCTGTAGCAGTAACTATACTGAATGACAAGAAACATTAATTTCTTATTTGATCCAGTCATTTCCTTCTGCATAAATTAAAATAATACACAAATCTGAATATCTGATGTCATTTAAATGCACAAACTAGGTGCTGACATTTCTGATTTATTTCTGGTGAAGAGGAGACACTATGTGTAGATATGATCTCAGTCATATGCCCATATATACAAATTGTAAAATTAACAATAGACTAGAGAAGAGGCAGAACACTACAAACATTATACAAAAGATGAAATTGGCACCTATTATTACGTTTAATAATATAATAATGGCATTCAATACCATTTAGAAGTTTGTGAATACCAATTGATTGAATGGGCTCCTTGGGCATATTTTGACACAGAAAAATTTTTATATTTTATAAAGCAGAATAGAAGATAAGTATTTAAATTAAAAGTCATAGTATTTTTGGCAAAGCTAAACTCCATTTACTGACAATCCACAATTAAAGTCAAAATAGAGAGATTATGTTTTGTAATTATATAACCACTTTTGGGAGAAAAAAGGATGATAGCTTATTAGTTATTATTTTTATTCCTATTATTTAAATTCAAATGCATTATATAGTATGATGAATTGTCATAAGATCTTTTCTGAAAGTCAATGACATAAATCTGTCTCAATGTTGAGATTTTATTCAGGGTAAACACCTTCATTTACTCTCCCAGGGTCACACTGCAAATAGTCTAAGGATGAAGAACTAAACTCAGAAACATGGATAAGTCATTGATTGTTTTGTAGACAGGTGGTGTTTAATAATTTTTTTCAGAAAAAGGACAGCCTGTTTTTCATTTAATTTTATTGAATTAAATTGCTTTAAAAATAGAATAGTTACAATAGTGTCTTTTCATTTTTAATTGACTCTATTGAGTGAGAGTACATTTTCAAAATCATTATCAGCACAATTAGTACAATGCAAGTAACTATAATTGTAAGGAACTTTTGAGTTGAGATGATGATTTCACATCTTTCTCTTTCAGGAAGCTCTGATCATGGCAAGTATGGACCATCCACATTTAGTCCGGTTATTGGGTGTGTGTCTGAGCCCAACCATCCAGCTGGTTACTCAGCTTATGCCCCATGGCTGCCTACTGGATTACGTTCATGAACACAAGGATAACATCGGATCACAGCTGCTGCTTAACTGGTGTGTCCAGATAGCTAAGGTAAGTGCCCATCACTTCCTATGGAAATGACATTTCTGGGTTAATATCTCCTAGTCTGGAATAGTTTGGATATGGAAAGCATGCCAAAACTTTGAACCTATTTAAATAAAACAAATTATATTTGCTACATTGAAAGATACATGATAGGGAGGTACCTTTATGCAAACCACAGATTAAACATGTGATATATATTTTTGGATTATTGTACTGTGCCATTGTATTTTATTGACTAAATGCCAACACAAATAGCTTACTAGTCAGGGAAATATTGTTATCCTGGATTTGTTTGGCTTTTTGTTTTGGCAGAGTCCAATTAACAAACAAAATCCAAGAAAGAAAAGATTGAATGTCTGAATTGTTCCATATTTAGATGATTTTGAAAAATAGCCTGAATGTTCAATTCTCAATATCACAAATGATCAAATTCTAAATATTTTCCTAGTCTTTTTGATAATTTTCAATTGATCTTCAGTGGTTGGGCTTTTGGGCCGACACAGAGGCTCAGGTATGTAACATGCATAAGGGATGTAGTCTGGGGTGACAGGGAAGGTGGCTCTGTGGCAAACTAGAGAACATCTGCCATTTGCTACCCTCTAGGGGACTGTGGTTTGGGGAATGCTACCAGAGTTATCTGGTCTTTCAATTTTTTCAAGAGTTCTCAGAATTCTGGATTTTTATGTGAATTCTCCAAATTTAAATCTTATCTCAAACTATTGAAGCACTTATGTATTAATAAAAATTTAGCATTTGTATCAATAAAAATTTAGCATTTGTTCTTAGACCATTCTGAGCTTGGGGGAGGAGGGAATGTCATCTTTAAAATTCAATATTTCTGACTGTTGGAAGAAAGAACTTGGGTCTCCCATTCTCACTTGCTTTCCTACACAGGTTCCTAAGATGTTTGTGCTCTTATCGTGGCCTCTAATTTTTATGTCAGAAGAATTGAATTGTTTGTAGTATTGAAAACATGCAAAACCACCAGTGACCTGGCAGAGAGCCGAGATCAGGGGTAATTCTTAGAATAAGACAGTCTACTAGTGAAGTAGAACAAAGAAAAAATTCTAACTTTTCAATCTTAAGCTAGAAAAGGTTAATATTGGTTTGACTTCCTAATATTGCAAGGATTTTAGTTCCTGACTCCTTTCTAAGGAAAATGTTATTTGTAGTATTTTTGTTGTTGCTGCTGCTGTATTTGTAAAGCCTGAATACTGAATGTAGGCTGCTATTATTTTTAAAAATCCTGAAACCTTCCTCAGAGCTTTACATGTCTATTTTATTTTGTCAGATTTTCCTCTGGTGCTCTAATTGATTTGCAGCTTAATTCAAATGTAGGGTTCCAAGAGCTTTCTTTTTTCATGGTTTACCACTAAAACTATTTGAAGGGATGATTCTAAAGATA